GTTTTTTTTTTTTTTCAAAAAAAAAGGGCTGGGGACCTTTTGGGCACAACCTTCCTTGCAAGGTGCAAGCCCCCCGGGGTTTCGGCCCAGGCACCACTTGGAAACAATTTTCACGGGCCGCCGTCTGTGGCGACGCGCAGAACATCAACAACGCTGCTCGCAACATGCGTGTCGCGCACTCATTCATGACCGGTCTCAATGCCCCACCCCCCTGCGCGCGGGCCTTCTAAGCCCGCGGGTAGTCCCCCCCCATCCCCAGGGCCTCCAGGGCTCGCACCTCAACCTCTCACAGGCCAGCGCACAGCGCCATAGGTGATAGGAGGTATTTTCTTCTCAATAACAAGGCTGTGAACCCTCGGAGACCCGTGTTTTTTTTATGGCCCTTTCCCTGCGAACGCGCACCCCCGGGGCTAGGGCTCTCTAGCCCGTAGCCCGATCCCGATCATCCGGCCCGCTGGGTGCGCTTCTTAGCTCCCCGGCGGCCCTGGATGTGAGTGAGGTTGATAACTGCACTCCAAGTGCTCCATCATCCGGCGCTTCCTCAAGCGCCAGTCGCTCAACGCATACGAGCGCGGCATCATCGCGGGCGTGGAGGGCCCGGCCGAGACGGCCGACGCTTGAGCGGCCGTCAATCAACTGGGGAAGGGGGGGGGGTTAGCGTGGTGCTCGTGGCGGAGTTCGGCCGTTCGCGCGCGGCGTCAGTGCCTCGAGAGTGACCCAAAGATTGGGGAGCACACCCAAACGCAGGCACGTATCTGCTAGCAAACGAAAAACAGGCACCCTGCGAGAGCAATAAAACGCCGGCACCCCGCGTCATCGCGATTTCTTTCTTTAGAAGTAAAAAAACGGCGGCAGGGGGTGCAGAAAGTGGCGGCCCCGCCCTCCAGCTCCGCCCCGCCATCCTGCAGAAAGTGGCGGCCCCGCCCTCCAGCTCCGCCCCGCCGTCCACTCCTCCGCCCGCACTGCCCCGGCTGCTGCAGCGCAAGGGTCAATGGAAGCTTTCGACCCCAAATCGGG